CTTCAACCAGAGGAGAGTGCTCTCTGTTGCTGCTGAGAAAGGTCCATCGGGCAGCCGTGCAGAGGAGAAAGGCAGATCCTTATAGAACTAAAACGGGCCCCACCAGACAGTGGCTACGTTGGTCCTGGACCAGGCTCCACAGCGTCACCGTCACAGGGCTGGCTGGTACAGCGCCCTATCTCCAGGTACCTGGGCAGAGAGGCAGGAAACCAGACCCTATCACCACTGCTGATGAGCAATGGCTTTGCTACAGCAGATCCACAGCCCCCCTGACCCTCCACGGGAGGCTGGAGGGCCCCGTGGGGGGCCTTTCTAGGCAGCTGGGAGAGAAGGTCAAGGGGACAGGAAGTTGAAGTTCAGAAGGCCACAAAGATGGGACAAGTAGATCGGCTAAGAGAAGACAGAGTGAGCAAAGGAGGGGTCAGCCAGGCGAGTGAGGGGTGGGATGGCAGAGCCGGTGTCCAGAATTTATGAAATTTATGATAGCGACATACTGAGGTGCGAGGAGGTTCATGCAGGGAAGTGAGAGCCTGGCAAGGCACAAGGCCAAGGATAGTGGCTAAGGGGACGGGGAGGGGAAGGGGAGGCCTAGAGTAATGTGGGGCATTGGTGCCCAGAATAATGGCAGAGTGGGGCGCGGTGGGGAGTGAGTGGGCAGCCTTGAGAGGCATGGTAAGGATGAGAGGTTCATGCAGGTGAAGCCACAAGGATGGAACAGGCCACCAGCTGGTGAGGGTTCAAGGAGTAACTATTCCTCATTCATTAGTATCAGCATCACTAAAGGTAGGACCATCCTTCCAGGCAGACCCCGGAGCTAGTCTGCCCACTTCTAGGCCAACGGGTGTGGAGTGAACTTGGACGTGCAGCTTGAGGGGTTCATAAGCCTGTGCACAAAGCCCCTCACCCTGTGGGAGGAATCCCGGGTAAAGGGTGGGCCAGAGCCAGCCCTCCCCCACCACCATTTTCCAGAACAGAATTCTGAGGCATCTATGAATTCCTCACTGACCCGGCTTTCCAGGTCACTGAGAAGGTACACTCATCAAGGCTGGTGGACAGAACCCACTTACTGAACCATCTGTTAACCTGAGTCATAACATATAGACATTTAGCCCTACGGTGTGTGGGTTCCATTTATTCTCGCACCTCGGACCCTACACAAGGGTAAGCGGTTTCTGGAATGAGCTCTCTTCTTCAGAGGAGAAGCAAAAAACAGCTTTGTCCTTGGTCCCCTGCCCCATGAACCCACTCTCCGGACGTATTCATTCCTTCCTCTGCTGCAATCTGGGCAGGTCCCACATCTCTTCTGTTTTCTCCTAGTCAGAAGAACACCTCCACTCCAAAAATTAATATGAAATATAAAACTTTATTATTTATCTGGATTAAAATTCCTCCTTCCTGGGCACCTGGGTGGCTCAGTCGGTTAAGCGGCTGCCTTCAGCTCAGGTCATGATCCCAGGGTTCTGGGACTGAGTCCCGCACTGGGCTCCCTGCTCCGCGGGAAGCCTGCTTCTCCCTCTCCCTCTGCCTGCTCCTCTGCCTACTTGTGTTCTCTCTCTGTCAAATAAATAAATAAAATCTTTTAAATAAATTAATTAATTAAATAAAATTTCTCCTTCCTCCCGCTGGGAGACCTATCCTTAACGCGGATAAGGCGTAGAAATCCTTGTCTGGTCTCACTCCTTGTGCCCTGATCACCCTGCTCTGGCCCCTTTAGGGTTGGAGATAGAGGTGAGGAGGAGACAACAGACAAGACCCCCCCCCCCATAAACATCTGTGGCAGAGAAGGGTGGGAGGGAAGGAGTCTAGAAGAAAGGGAAATGAGGGAAATGTGTATACTCTAAAGAGTTTCACAAATGCATTATGCTTACTAGGGTAGAATGGAGAAACTGCAGCAGGGGATCGGGGGCTCTGTTCCTAGTGCAACCCAGCAGGAGCATTAATGCTGCATTTCCCTTCAGCTTTTTTTTTTTTTTTAAGATTTTATTTATTTATTTGAGAGAGAGAATGAGAGAGAGAGAGAGCATGAGAGCGGGGAGGGTCAGAGGGAGAAGCAGACTCCCTGTCGAGCAGGGAGCCCGATGCGGGACTCGATCCCGGGACTCCAGCATCATGACCTGAGCCGAAGGCAGTCGCTTAACCAACTGAGCCACCCAGGCGCCCCTCCCTTCAGCTTTTATTTGGCACCTGAACAGCTCTATGGCTGGCAAAAATCATTAGTGGCCCGTATGCAGGGCCGCTAGGTTCTTCTGGGAACAACCCTCTGAGGAAGTGGGGTCCTCCTTTTTTTTTTTTTTTTTTACCAAAATAGCTTAAACAGAGAGGTGCACCCTGGGCTTCTGACAGAGGGGACCAAAGCAGAGCACTGTGGGTTAGGCAAGGTGGCCCCAGCCCAGGTCAGACCCAGAAGGGCGGGCATAGGCTTGTACGCATGTGCACACGCACACACGCGAAGGTGAACACACACCACATCCAAAACTCAGATGCCGACAGGACCAATACCATGAAATAAAGGAGGACTATTTGTCAAGAAACAGCTCTGTCACTTGGCCCATCGGCTGAGACCAAGCCACTGTAAACACACTTACGGAGCCAAAGCCAAGGCCAAGGCTGTGAAGGGCCCGGTGCCAAACGCTGTCTCCAAGCCTTCTGCTTCTAGGGCTTTTGAATTTCAAGGACACAGGCCACCTGTGACTGCTGTGTCGGTGAGACACAGGAGTGTGTGACCCCAGGCTTCAATGGCCATGCTGGGCCGTGCATGGCAGTTACGCTCTGGAGCATCAATCTCAAGTGTCTGGAACCTGCCCCAAGCCTCCTGAAGACCTCCCAGTAACCTATTTGGGAATCCATTTTCCACAGATTCATCCAGATCCTCCCTAAACCTAATTATACCTTCTCCCGGCTTCCATCCTGGTAGAAAGAGTTCTGGAAGATTACCACAATTGTTTGGACCCTTTTTTATTTATGCTACAACAATCCCTTCCAAGTTTCTGTGGTGGCCCCCAAGTTCCAGCCTACCAAACGCCAGAATGCCCGTCCCCATTCACTCGCTTCCTTCAGGAACCTCACCTCTGGCTCTTCCCGGCATGCGTGTTCCACACTGCAGAAGCCTTTTTGGACTTTCCTTCCCACACTTTTTTTTTTTTTTTTTTAATTTATTTGACAGAGAGAGACACAGCGAAAGAGGGAACACAAGCAGGGGGAGAGGGAGAGGGAGAAGCAGACTCCCAGCTGAGCAGGGAGCCCGATGCGGGGCTCGATCCCAGGACCCTGGGATCATGACCTGAGCCGAAGGCAGACGCTTAACGACTGAGCCACCCAGGCGCCCCCCCACACTTTTTAATTACAAAAATAATACATGAATATATGCTCCTGGTAAAAGAGGCTAACAAGACCCAAGTCCACGGAGGGAGAAAATGGAAGTCCACCCACCTCACCTCCCCCTGCCCCTCCAGCCTCGGTTCTCTCCATACAGGTCGCTGCAAGAAACGTTTGCCTACAAGCTTTATTTCTGCGCATTTACATGCCCATCAATCAGAAGGTTTTTGTTTTTGTTTTTTCACAAATGAGATCATGTTATACATATCCTCCTACAACTTGAAAAGTTTATTTTTTCAGACTCGTCTCATATGGAAGCGTGCAGAGGCCACACTACTGTGGGTGTTTGGAGAATAATACGAATCGAAGCCATGGGTAAGTATTTCCGAACAAAATGAGGGAAATAAAATTGTATGCAAAGTTTTCCAGAAGCACTTTTTGGCTTTTCGGAGTCTCGCCTTACCCAGCCATGGAGCGTACAGCCCGCCCAGCACAAAACATCCCTGTGTCCCGGGGCTCTAAGACATTGCCAGGATTCATCCTGGTAGCTCTCCCGGGTTTGGTAAATAAGTATCACGGAGGGGAAAAAACTGGGACCTGTCTCTTGCCTTCCTCCATAATAATAATGAGATGGTGCGGCAGAAAGCTCAGGATTTGGAGAAAGCGGACAGAAGGTCAGTCTTGAGTTGCCACAAACTTGGGGACCTCCCTCTGGGGCTCAACTTCCTCACTTGAAGGAAGGATTATGCTGTAATAGGTACCCTTGGGGTGGTTTTAGGATCAAAAGGCGTGGAAGGTACGAAGGAAGGCCCGTTGTGTGCTCTAGAGAGCTATGCCAGCCGCGGGAGTTGTAATTATTACATGAGGAAAAGCTAAATTCGAGTGAGCTGCGCAAACGAGGCGTTTGGCAACTTTTCCTCGCGTGCTTACGCGTTTTCTGGGGGAATTCAACCGCGCCGCGAGGACACCGTCCCGGGGTGGGGGGTGGCCAGGGCGCCACCTGCCGGCAGAGGAGGAGGCCACCGGTGCGTCCGGGCACCTTGGGCTCGGTGACCTCGCTCCTTCTCCCGCCCCACCGCGGACCCCTCGGATCCGAGCCGGGTTCCACGTCCCCAGGTGGCCGGGAGGCGCAGCCGAGGCTCCTCCGCGGCCTCAGCCCCCAGGACGGGACGGGATCGCCCCTCCGGTGTCCCTGGGCAGCCGGCAGGAGAGGCGGGAGACCCCGGACGCCCGGCCTTGGCAACCCGGGAGCCTGCTCCCCAACACAAAGCCGCGGCCGCGCAGCGGAGCGCGGCGGAGCCACGTGAGCGGGTAAACACCCCGGGACTGAGCCACCCAGCCCCAGCGGGCCACGCGCGCCCCCGCCGCGCGCCCCCGCCGCAGGCTTCAGCCACTCTCGCTCGGAGCCGGGAGCCCAAGGAGGGAAGGTTGGGAGAGCAAAGAAAGGAAGCGAGAGGGTGGGCGCACCGCAGTCCGGGCCCCGCACCTCCGGACCCTCGGCCCCGCGCCCCAGCCCGGCTGTCCGAGGCCCCGAGGCCCCGACCACGCCGCGTCCGCAGCCCACCGCCCTCAGCCCTCCATCCCCCCCACCCCCTGCCCGGCGCCCCCCGCCCCTCAGCCGCTTGTCTGCAGCCCCCAGCCCCCAGCGCTCAGCACCCCCAGGCCCCGCGGCCCGCGCTACTCACCGGCGGCTCCCGTAGCCGCTGCCCGGGGAGCCGGCGCCCGGCTCGGGGTAGCCGTGCTGCTGCAGGGCTGCGGCCGGGAAGGGGTACAGGAAGCCGGTGGCCAGCGCCGACCCGCAGAGGCAGCAGCACGCCCAGGGCAGGAGGAGAGCCAGCTTCATCTTGCGCGGCCGCCCGCGGGGACCCGCAGCCCGGGCGGGAGGACAGGCGGGAGCGCACCCGCGGCCGGACCGAACCCGCGGCCCCCGCCCCGAGCAGAGAGGCAGCCGGCGAGCGAGCGGAGCCCGGCCAGGAGTTGGAAGTTTCTGGGGGGCGCCCACGCCTCACCAGGGCCGCCTTTTCAAATTCGGCGAGGTGGGCTCTGCGCCGTCAAAGGGGGCGTGGGGCTTTTTCGTTAACCCTCGGCGGCCCGCGGCCGAGGAGGCGCCAGTGGCTGCAGAGCTGGGGGTCCGGGAGCCGCGCGTGCCGGGAAAGCCAGACCTTGCTCCTGCGTCCTCGCGCACACACTCTCTAGAACCTTCCCACCCAAGCCCTGTTCGGGCCCGCAAACGGTCGTGGGGCACCCACCCCATGCCTGGCAGTTTCGCCTGGGCCAAGTTGCCCTCTGTATTAGGCGGCGCCGTTCCCATTTTTCAGGGGTGGAAACCGAGGCTCACAAGAATTAAGCCGAAAAATAACGCGGTCCTGGTCCAGGGCCCTCTGGATCAAACTATTGCACACCCAGCCTTCCCTGGAATCCTCTTCCCGTTCACCTCCACCCTCTACCTCGACAGCTCTTTCTCCAAGGTGAGCTGTAGCACAGAACGAGGAAAGCGCAGGATTTGGAGTGAGAAGTTGTTTCTGGAATCACCAATTCGTGAGGCATCGGATCTGGAAGGTAGCTGGGGGGTGTGGCGGGGAGATCTAATACCATCCCACCTCCCGCCTTTTACAGATGGACAAGCTGAGCCCACCAGCCTGGCCCAGGTTGGTCTTTTCTGGGCTGCAGGATACCCACAGCACTGTACCTCATGAGGGTTGGGCCCTGAAATCCAGCTTATGCCCCACTCCCCAGGTTGGGAGTCTTTCTAATTCTCCCGCCAGAGCATCCTAGGGGCTGGCAGAGGCCCTGAGGCTACCTCTGGCCCTGTTCACAGTGGGGAGCTCCTAGTCTGTAAAATGTCTGTAAATCTGGAGAGAAGCCATCCAATATGGAAGTGCTTAATGGGTTGCAATACATTTTGTAAGAGAATTGTGGGATTGTTTTTAGAGGATGCTGTTAGGAAGGTGGACGGAAAGGCCCACTCCTGTGGCTTTTGCCCTCTTGCTTACATATCCCGTTGGTACCCCCTTGAGTATATATATCCCAAAATATCATATCCAACCCGCTTCACCCTCTCCCCCAAACTACCCCCTCTTTCTCCACTCAGTTCCCTCAAATCCTGCCGAGGCCTTCTCAACGGCATGCCCACACTTCCCAAGTCCCGAGTCTCTGAACAGGACTCAAGATGGATGATGAGTCCATCTCAGAGTGGGCAGCCCATAATGGGAAGTGTCACTTGGACCTGGGATGACTTCCTTTTCATCTTACCCTCCATCCCTCTCTCAAGACTTAAAAGATTTGGAGAATTTGGGGTATCAGGGGAATTTCAGGGCCTTCCCCAAAACTGATCTGTGCTCCCTGGACAGTTGGCTAACTCCCAGTAAGTGATGAGGTCATTCCCCATCTCCCAGGAATCTGTAAACATTCTGTCTTTCTTCTTCCTCTCCTTTACTTTCAGAATGAGACAAGAGAAATTCCATGTGATTGTAAATGACTTTTATACTGCAGGGGTGACAGGAAGAGAACAAGATTTTTTTTTTTTTAAGAATTTCCTTTTTATCTTAAAGTCATTTTTTTCCAGGGCCACAGGCTGCACCCCAACTAGAGGGACCTAGGAGAGGACAGGATACCACTACTCCGTATTCTGCAGGATTCTTTTAGGATGAAAAGCTGTAGGAAAAGAATTAATTCATCCCAGCAGCATAAAGGACCAGGACTGGGGCAGTTGTCTGAGGTTGGTCCTTCCCTTCATATCCAGGACAAGAAAGTTCATTCCGGCCCCATGACCGCGAAGCAGTCAACTTCTTGTGTCCCATGCCGTGCTGTATGCAGTGAAGGCTAATAGAGAAACAGGTAACATGGTTGTCCCCTCCAGGGCGCTTGCGCTATTCTTTAGGAAGGCTTTAAAGTGGCAAAAGGCAAGCAGCAGTTTGGACACATGCTCTGCGCACAAGAAGTTCCATTTAGGTGGTAAGAGATAAAAAGACAAAGATGCATACAATCAAGAAAAGAAATATGATGTCTCCCACCCCAGCCAGACCCAGAAGCTCCAGGGTCCCCCGCTGGCTCCCCCACTAACTTGCTGATGACCTGGAGTAGACTCCCCTCTCTGGTCCCCTCCGACCCCAAGCGCCTTTATCTGTAAAGTGAAAAGTGGATTGGCTTGTCTCTGAAGATCTTTCCAGTTCTGGTCTTCAGTAACTCACTTTTCCCTTCATCCTCCACTCCTCTCTCCAAAGCAGCTGTGGATATACCCAAACTTATTAAGCTGTCACTCCTGAAGGCAAGATTTTCAGCTGCTGCATCCCCTCCCCAGCAGCAGGGCCCTGGGAGCCAAGAAGAATGGAGAAGGGTTCGCGGCATCACACTCTAAACTCCCCGCCCCCCGACACCAGTGAGTAGAGTCCAGCTCCAACAAGTACCAGCTGTGTGACCTTGGACAAGTTACCTAACCTCTCTGAGCATCCTCATATGTAAAATCAATAATAGTAACAGCACCTAATGCATGGGTTTGCTAAAAGAATTTAATGAATTATTCACATGAAGTGCCTGGATGCTGCGGGTAACACCTTATAATGCTCAATAAATGTTAATTATGATAATTTGCAAGGCTTTGGTGAGGGATAAAACTGAAGAACACCACGCTTCTCAAACCCCCAGGGTAGGGCTGATCAGGAGGCTCATATCCCAGAGTGTGCAGAGCTTTCTCAGATGATTCTTGGAACCCCGGGATAAACCCATTATGTCTTGTTCTGTGGTCAACAATTTAAAACAAAACTTTAGGGGCGCCTGGGTGGCTTAGTTGGTTAAGCGAGTGCCTTCGGCTCAGGTCATGATCTTGGAGTCCCTGGATCGAGTCCCGCATCGGGCTTCCTGCTCGGCAGGGAGTCTGCTTCTCCCTCTGACCCTCCCCACTCTCATGCTCTCTCTATCTCATTCTCTCTCTCAAATAAATAAATAAAATCTTTTAAAAAAATAAATAAATAAATAAAATAAAACAAAACTTTATTTTAGAACACATAGGGGAGGGGCACCTGGATGGCTCAGTCGGTAAGGCATCCGACTCTTGATCTCAGGGTTGTGAGTTCAAGCCCCACGTTGGGCAAGGAGCCTGCTTAAAAAAAAAATAAAAAATAAAAATAAATAAAAATTTTCAAAATAAAACAAATATGGGGACGTTATTGTGTAGAATGGGCAGTTTGTGTTATTTTTTTAGATAAAACATACTTGTGGTGGGTGGTAACAGTGGGAAGGTGTGAGCACCCCCAAAATAAAGGACCAGGCAGTACCGTTAGAACTGAGTGGTCCTCAAGCATAGAATTGATTGGCTGGCCTTGTCTGCGTGTCACCAAGCACTAGTCTCGATATTCCACAGCCGTGCCTGTGGCACCCCCCAAATACACAAAGAAGGATCAGATTTCTTGGTGGAAGGAGACTCCCCCCCCCAACACACACACACGCATACACACTTGACTAGGGGGATCCTCCGCAACTCTGTTACCGGGCCTTTCTGATAAGAAAATATCAGTCGGCATCCTTTTCCGCAGACAAAAAGCAGATCTTCTGTTCTGCCGGAGTCAGCAGAATGAGCCACTGAGCAGAGAAGTAAATACTCATCAAGCTGAAGCCAAGGTAAATATTGACCTTCTGGCATGATAAGTCCTCCTGTTAATCTAAAACAGAAATCTCCCCCTCCCCCCGAGTGCCCTATTGGACATGGATTCTGCAGCCCCACCCCCCACACACAAGAAGTTTAGGGAGGCAATGTAGGCTTTCACACTGATTTCTCAGGCAGCCCATAATCCCAGCTGTTCCGGATCCCAGGGCAGCACAGAAATGGGCTGTGTTGACTCAAGGTAGCGGGATGGTCACAGTAGAAGGGCTTCTTTGTTCTGGCCAAGGTTTCTGTCCGTGGCCAGGCCAGAACGTGAGCAAAACATAGTTATTCTGGAAGCTTTGAACCCTGAATTTTTCTTTCCCCGTACATCCCCCTCCCCAGGCATCCAGCCAGGCTCTATAAAAGGGGTCACTTCTTTGCCCAGCAGACCTGCAGGTGTAAGCCTACCCGTTTCCCCAAAGAAATAGATGTTCAGAAGACAGCAAATTGGATGCCTATCACAAGAGCCCATGATCCCAAACAGAGGTTTGAAAGGAGAACAAACCAAAAAAAAGGGTCGAAAATAAAACCTAAAAAACACCAAAAATAAGGAGTCTGCCCAGTCGCCAACACCGAAAACTCAACTCATGTGGTGATCAGTTTGCTCCCTAATGTAGCCACAGCTCAAACAGTGCTTCCCAAAGAGCTTACCGAGATGGCTCTGTGATATAGAAAGGGGATGCCTTGGTGGGCTCCATCCGCTGCTATAACAGAATACCATAGACTAGGGGGCTTATAAACAACAGAAATTTATTTCTTACCGTTCTGGGAGCTGGAAGTCCAAGATCAAGGTGCTGATAGACTTGGTGTCAGGGGAGAGACGCTCCCTGGTTCATGCATGGCCATCTTCCCTGCTGTGTCCTCACATGGCAGAGGCGACAAGGAGCCCGCTGGGGCCTCTTTTTATGAGGACACTAGCCCTGTGCGGGGAGGGCTCCACCCTCGTGAGACAAGCACCTCCCAAAGGCCCCACCTCCTAATACGATGGCACTAGGGGTGAGGATCTCACCGAATGAATTGGGGTTGGGGGGACACAAACGTACAGTCCATTGCAGGGGACTGAAATTATAAAATGAGAAAGAGGCAACACCCAGGAGAGTGCTGGTCATACCAGCATTACCCTGGCCCAGGTATGAAGATGGTGGGGTGTTCAGACACGATGATTCCGCATCATGATGTGCCTCCCACAAGTGCCCAAGTTGAGGGTCTGTGATGGGGAGCTTTGCCCAGGGCGGGTAAGAGTGGCCTCCGGAGGGATGCTGGACTTGGAGGAAGGAAGACCAGCAGGAAGTGATCCAGATCTCCCAAGCCATGCGGGGAAACAGAATTAAACGTGTTCTTTGA